CAAACCTGAAAGCTTCTGCACAGCAAAGGAAACAATGGTGTAAAGAGGCAACCCACAGAGTGGGAAAACATATTCGCAAACCACGCATCTAACAAAGGGTTAATATTCCAAAACTCACAAGGAATTCAAGCAACTCAATAGCAAGAAAACAAATAATCTAATTAAAAATTGGCAGAGAACCTGAAGAGACATTTCTCAAAAGAAGGCATACAAATTACAAACAGGTTTATTTTTAAATGCTCTACATCCCTAATAATTAGGGAAATGCAAATTAAAACCAGAATGAGATATGACCTCACACCTTTTCGAATGCCTATTATAACAATGAAAATAAGATGTGTCAGCAAGGAGATGAAAGAAGAGCCTTTGGGAAGGCAAACTAGTACAGCCATTAGGGCAAATAGGATGGAGTTTTCTCAAAAAACTAAAAATAGAACTACCATATGATTCAGCAATTCCACTCTGGGTATATATCTGAAGGAATGTAAGTCAATATGTGGAAGAGATATCTGCATGCTGTGTTCATTACAGCATTGTTTGCAAAAGAAAAAATATGTAATCAACCAATATGTCCATCAATAGATAAATGAATAAAGAAAATGTGATATATTTCCAAATGTGATGTACAATAGAATACTATATATCTTTTAAAAAGAAAGGAACTCTGTCATTTGCAATAATATCTACAGAACAGGAGAACATTATGTTAAGTGAAATAAACCAGACACAGAAAAAAACTGTACCTAAATGCAGTTATGCATAGAAGAAATGTATCTATACACAGTTATGGCATATATGCAAAACCCACAGCTAACATCATACTTAACAGTGAAAAGTTGAAAGCTTTTCTTCTGAGATATGGAACAGGACAGAGATGCCCACTTTCACCACATACTCATACTTAAACATGGAATCTGAAAAGGTCAAGTTCATAGAAGTAGAAGTAGGGAATAGTATGCTGGTTACCAGAAGCTAGAAGTGTGGATGGGGAGGAAGAAATGAGGAGGTGTTTATCAAATTGTATAAAGTTTTGGTTACACAAAATAATAGGCTTATAAAATCTATTGCACAGAAGGATGACTACAGTTAATAAAAAACAGGTCAGTTATTTCAAAATAGCTAAGAAAGTAAATTTGCAATGTCTTACCACAATAAATAAGTGAAGTGATGGATATGTGAATCAGATTAATTTAATTATTCCACTTTCTATACATATAACAAAACATCACATTACACCCAGTAAACATACACAATTATAATTTGTAAAAAAATAATAAAAATAAACCAAAAAATTTTAAATTAAAGAAAATTAACTGTGGTATAGATTTGTCTTATTGTTTTCATGTAATTTTAAATAATAATGACTTTCTGGCAGCCTATATAGGCCCATATCTAACTCATTTCCAATTTTTGCTTGGAAAATACATGGAAAACAGTTTACGCAAGTCTGCCTTTCTGAATTAACTTTCTCAGATTCTTTCTCAGTAAAAAGAATCTAATTCTAAAGAAAAAAAAAAACTCCATGGGATCAGAAGAGTAATGTTTAGTCCATTCCTTAGTTATAAATATTTCATTAGTTAGAAACATTTCCCAATACTTTATCCAATGTGAGACCTGAATAAATGTCAAGGCTGGAGTATATTAGGAAGTTTCCCCTTCCTGGGGAGAAGGATATTACCATGTTAGATGATGAGAAATCTGCAGTTCATAGAGATCTAGCAATCTGCCCCAAATCGTACTGTTATATGACTAGCTGGCCAAAAGTCTTGTCAAAGTTGTTGGTCTGAGGAGCAATGCTTCACTGCCACCTTATGGGCAAATGGGGTTTGCTACAAGTCCTACAAGAGTTCATTATAGTTAAAGTTGGGCTTAGAGAGTGCCTTTTGCAGATGAAATAAAGTGTCTTGTAAGTCATACTAAGATGTTTATTTCTATTATAACTCACCAAGGATAGTGATTTTTAACAGGTAATATTTAAGTGGAAAATTATAGTCAGAAGGCTAAAATGGAGCCTGAGATAACAGTTAAGATGAATAGTAGAATAACATTTAAAAAAGATGACTTGAATTAAATGTTCACGGGTTTAGTCAATATGTAAGTTGATATAAAGAATATGTATTATAGTATATTAAAATTTATTTTGAGTGAAAAAGGGCTTAGAGAGAGTAAGAGCATTAACTTTCATTACATCAAAACATGTGTAGAAGCAAATTTAGAAAAACTTAAGATCCGTATTTGATAGATTGACTTTCAAGATTCCATAAGGGCCAATGAAATTAAGATGTCCCGTTTCTACTTCTCAAAGAGGACATTTAGGGGCCAATAAACATGAAAAAAAGCTCATCAGCACTGATTATTAGAGAAATGCAATTCTAAACCACAGTGAAATACCATCTCACACCAGTCAGAATGGTGATTATAATAAAGTCAAACAATAGATGCTGGCAAGGCTGTGGAGAAATAGAAACCCTTTGACACTGTTGGTGGGAATGTATATTAGTTCAACCCTTGTAGAAGACGGTATGGCAATTCCTCAAGGATCTAGAACCAGAAATACCATTTGACCCAGAAATCCTATTATTGGGTATATACCCAAAGGAATATAATCATTCTACTATAAAAACACGTGCACATGTATATTTATTAAAACAGTATTTACAATAGCAAAGACATGGAACCAACTCAAATGCCCATCAGCGATAGACTGGGTAAAGAAAATGTGGTACATATACACTACGGAATACTATGCAGCCATAAAAATGAATGAGATCAAAAAACAAAAACAAAGAGTAATGAGGAAACTTTTAGAGGTGACAGATATGTCTACTGCCTTGATTATGACGATGGTTTCAAGGTTGTAGGCATATGTCCAAACTCATTAAATTGTAGGTACGCACACACTTGTGTGTGTGTGTGTGTGTGTGTGTGTGTGTGTGTATAAAGATGTCCAGTGCCTGATGCTAAGAATATGGGTACAGTCTCATGACGTGGGTAAGTGAGTTATACGTATAAAGGCAACAGAATAAATACAGATGTGACTGGGATTGTCATGCAGAGGTAGCAGGGTGGGTTAGAAGATAGCAATGACAAAAACCTAGGTCTAATCAATAACCAAAGGATAAAATATAAAGGGAATCAGAGGGAGAAATTTGAAATCACCTGCCAGAGACAGAGGGAGAAAAAGAGAAAGAAACAATGAGAACACAGGCAGCAACTGTCAGAGCTAGGACAACAAAGGGGATGTTCATTTTGTATTAGCAGTCTTAAGGGATCTGTGAATATTATCCTTAGGGGTTGAACTGGAAGGCGGCCGTCTTGCATTTAGATGTATGCTGATCTCCTTTACTTCTTTGGAGCTGTCTACTATCAAATGACAGAAAGAAATATTATTTTTACTGACCTGTTTTCTGGTATGCATTGACAGTTTAAGTTAGTGCTTTCTTATCCACTAAAAAGATTTGTAGTATTATAGTGCACAAATCTTATCCACTGGAATTTTTAGAAAAAGTAAAACATTGACAAGTATTCTAGTCTAGACTTTAGGAGGTATCATAGAAAAACGAAGTACAAAAACATAAGTCCAAAGGCTTGATAAAAGATAAAGTCAACTTCTACTTTCAAACAATATGATGCAAGAAAAAACAGTTATCTCCTCCTACCTGAAACAACAAAAAAAAGTCAGACAAAATATGTAAAACAATGACACTAGGACACCAGGCACTGAAGGACAGATTCCTGACCAATGGAAAATAAATAAGTTAAACTCTGTGGTTGGCCTTGGTTTTGGCATTGGAAGAGATTCTGGGAATAGGAAAGAGGAATCTTGACGAAGCAAATCTGTGTTGAGAATACAGAGCTGAAAGGAAATAGATACTAAAGTGGCTGGAGTCTGCAGGAGTACTGCACAGGAGAGCTGGACAAAAGATCAGAAGATTACCAATTGGTGCTTGTGTGTGAAGAAACTACCCAAAGCAAAGAGAGTCACTAGAGTTGATTAGAGGTAACAGAAGAACTCAGATCTCACGCAAGACTGTTAATAGTGCCTATTTGAGATTTTAAGAATCCACTTGATGACATTAATGGCAAATTAACTATTGCAGAAGAAAATATTTGTCAACAAAGATACAGCATTAACGTTAGAAAATACCTCCCAGGATCCCTGAAATTCTTGGTGTCCTTACATAGCCCAGGACTTGGAGCAATGGAAATTGGCATGCTGTAAAACTAGAGAATATCTTGTTTTTCCAAGAGATATTAATTCTAAAGATGATAAATGAAAAGTGATTGTTTCCTTCTCATTGGAGCCATGAACTCACCATGTGATCAGCATGGGAGGCTAGATCAAAGATCTAACAGAACATGTGCACACTCTGACCACAGCCTTGCAAGGTATTGAGAGGCAGAATAGATGCTCTTTCCCAAGCCAGTACGGAGCAAAGTTCTGAAGGGAAGAAAGCATATTAGAGCATATTATTAGTCTGCTATACATATAGAAGTAAAAAATATATATGAAGTATAACAGAGGAAAAGGTGTCCCACATTTTAACCCTTTCAGGGTTTAAGAAAAAGGCTGATGACCAATGGGCCATTTATGGATACCAGCAATGTAGGTTTTCTTCTGGCAAAATGGATCTGGTGAGAATGTGGGGCCCTGTTGATCAAAGCTGCACATGTGTAAATGCCTCTGTCTCAAGGCTGAGTCCAAAAGAGAGGATGTCTAATGAGGAGTTTGCAGAAATTAGGCAACGGGCACCCTACAAGCAGAGTACAATGTCCTATAATTCCTATTATTTGTTTTTTTTTTTTAAATGCCAAAGGAATGTGGAGGAAATTTTTGTCATGTTCTTTGGAAGACAATCTGGAGGCCTGACATGGATTATTTTATTGTTATTAGTATTAGAGAGATGATTAATCACAATATTTGCCTTTGACCCATGACTCAAATTCTGAATTTGTTCTCCTTAGATTTTTAGACACAGATCTGAGACCCAAGTCAATCAGACTTTCATAAAAGTTTATTTATTAGGGAGACTGTGGAAGACAATGAATCAGTGAGAGGAGAGGTCCATGGAAGGAACCTTGAAGCCATCTACTACAAGCTCAGTAGTGACAGCTCTTTGTCATCAAGAACAAATGAAAATAGATGTAAAAAGCGAAAGAGGAAGATTGGAGACATGGAGGGGAAAAAAAAGAAGGGACCTTCCCCATTCAAGTCCACTCAGCTAACATTTTCCATCATGGTAAAACCTGATTCTTCCATGAGATTTTCTAAAGGAAGTATTAGAATAAACATTTTATTAAGTAATACAATGTCAGAACTACAAAAATACTTTTAAGTTATCTCATCTAAAATCTGACTGTATATTTGAAGAAACTAAGATCCAGAGTATAAAGGAAATTGAGTAACGACAAAAGACAAAATTATTGGATTTCTTATTTAGTTTTCATTCAGTGATTCTAAGATGCCACTGAAGATATTATGACACATGCTACAATCTTTTTGAAATTAAGCTATGTAATCAGGTCTGAGTTTGTGATATGTGAGGCATATCAATCATCAACTATTCTGTTAATAACCTCACACTGTATTACTCATTAGTGGGGCTGAATTACTCATTAGTGAGAATGAGCTGGGCTTTGTACATTCCTGTGATTGCTCCTTGCACTGAATTAAAAAATGACTAGACTAAAGGCTCTGATATGATGCCATGGGGAAAATTTTTCTCTCTGTGAAATGAACTTACTCATATAGGAATCAAAGCTGAAAGCATTGTGTTATAAGATTTCAATGCCTGATCACTGATTTATGTCATATAAATCCAAAAATCTAAACATTGTCTCAGATAAAACACCCAAACTTTGCAAATACCTCATCACTGTAGTTCAGAGTTTCAAACACTTGAGAGGGGGAAGACATTTAAGAAGAAGCAAAACTACAATTTGTCTTAAATCAAAAATCATTCAGGGCCTGAAGGGATATTTGAGAGCCTCTTGAGTGGAAGTCAATCAACTGGCATACGGGAACGTAAGGGCTCAGATACCCGAAAGGATCTGAGGAACGCCATTTGGTACAATGAGTCTGCTTTCTAATCCAGTGGACTTTCTATTACTATGTGCTTTTCTGAGTGGGGGCTGATTATTATCTGTGTGACCTGGAGCAAATTCCTGGCTTCAAGGTTGATGTACTTGATAGGAGGGGTAGATGGTAATTGCTACGAACAAGCATATTTACAGTTCCCTTCTTTTCCCCGAATAGTACTCACAAGCTCTCAACACACAGGATGCAGGGATTACCATAGGTTATAAAATTGGTTCCACAGATGGGTTGATATAAGCCAGGGCAGGGGTGGAAGGTTCTATTAAACCGACTCAAGTTTACTTTCTCATAAGGACATTTCACCTGAAATTGAGTTGAAAAGATTTATACAATTAGAACTTCTCTTAGACAGGTAGGTCACCTTTGAACTTCATTAGGAAAATCTAAGCATAGTCCAAGTGTGGTGGCTCATGCCTCTCATTCCAACACTTTAGGAGGCTGAAGTGGCAGGATTGCTTGAGCCCAGGAGTTCAAGACCAGCCTAGGCAACAGAGAAATACCCTGACTCTCCAAAATTTTTATTTTTAATTAGCCATGCATGGTGGTGCATGCCTGTAGTCCTGGCTTCTCAGAAGGCTAGGGCAGGAGGATCACTTGGGCCTAGGAGGTTAAGACTGCAGTGAGAAATGATGGTGCCACTTCACTCCATCTTAGGCAACAGAGTGAGGCCCCATCTAAAAAAAACTTCTGAGCATAGCCCAGACCATATGTCAGTCCTATGAAAGCTCTCACTTTCCCATCTCCACAAAGCCATAAAACTAGAACCTATATGTATCTCTTTTGGTGACAATATGATGCCCTGGTTGTCAGGACCTTCTCAATAAAGGAGAACAATGGCCAGCTCTGTTATGGTTAAAAAAAAAAAGAGTAGATAAACTGATAATTTATCTGGAACTTCTCTCTCAATCTTCTTTATGCCCCAACTATTAGATCTGGAAAGACTTTAGAGATTTTCTGTGACAGCTCAGCTAAGAAAACTGAAGATCAACAACTGAAGAATACACATGCCTTAATTTAAACTATTTATTACATTTTATTCACTTTCTAAATCCTCAAGCCATCTCCTATTTCAAAGTTGTGAAGTGCAAGGTCATTAAGACTAATGCCTCGACACTGTAGGGAAAATCGGAAACAAAGGAAGGGACATGTCTCTTTAGGGACCCTGACCCAGGGATGCTTGTTTTCAGGGGAAGTTCTTCTCTGGACAATGATGGTGCTGGTGATGACTTGAAGTAGCGACTCTGAGATTTATGAAGCTTGAGGCTAGTGCTCTCAGGGGCTCTATAAATGCCATATGATTGGTAGAAATAAAGTAACTCACACACAAGGTAGAAGAAAGTTTTGGCTAGAAATTTGGAAGGAAGATGGTCATGTTTTAACGTAGAAATTCCTCTTCCTTCTTTTTTTATCCAACATCACCATCATGGCCAGGCCACCATTGTTATCCAATTAATCCCTCCATTTCCTTTATTCCCCATTTCATTTAAACTTCTCTAAATCATTTTATTTCCTTGATAAATGTTCTTTCATTGAACCTCAGTGCACATTATAAAAAAGTCTTTCTTATGGGCTAAAAGTCCCTACATGACCTGGAACCTCCCAAATCTTCTCCCCTTACCTTATACTACCTAGCTTTCTGCCTTTTTAGTAAGTTTTTTAAATATATAAAGTCTTTATCTTCCCCTCACTTCAAGGTCTTTTTGAAGTGTCATGACCACTTCACCAAATATATTTTTTCTGAACCTAAAGTCAGTCTATCTTTAGAGCTCAGGTTATAACCCATTTTCTCAGAGCTATTTATTAAAATACAGTCACCACTCTCTGTTATTTATTTTTATACTTTTAATCAGTTTGTAGCAAAGCATTTGTTTAACTATTTAACTAATCCCATACCCCTAAAGGACTATAAGGCCTCAAGGGAAAGATTTGTGTCTGATTAGGCTAGTCATTATGTACCCAACATACATATTTGCATTTAGTCATTGCTATATAAACATTTGCAAAATGAATGAATGAGATATAAGATAGTTAAATCTGAAAGAAAATATAGTTATCAAAGACAAGGAGAATAGCTTATATTGTTGTCTATAAATATAGCTTCTTTTTTCTCTTTGTCTTTAGAGGAAGATATGCGTTCATCAGGTGAGAATCCCACCTGCTGCTCTTACTGTAACATCTGCCACTTCTCCTTCCTGTCTGTGCTCCAGTCACACAGGACTTCAATTAGTGACCCAGGTGGTGAGGTCTTTCTCCCACTCTCCACCTGGGTGGCTCCTTTTCATCCTTTAGGTCTCACCTTAGACATCCCCATGACAGAAAAACCTTGCCTGAACCCATTGTTTATATCTCTATGCTCAACAGATATTCTCTATCATACCATTTTATTTCTTGTATTTATAAAACTTACCATAAATCATTGTTTTCTTCATTTTTTGGCTATCTGTAAGCTTCATAAGAAAAAGGAACATAACTGCTTTCCTCAATATTGTATCTTAGGGCACAGCACAGATGATGAATAAATATTTGTTAAAGAAAATAAGTAAAAATGAATGCATTTATTATTATTTATGGATTATGGGCATGAGGAGGACTCATCCTGCAGATAACCTTCTGGAGAAAAAAATTCTAGAGCTGAACTTTATAAGACCAGGGTATAAATCCTGGAAAAATTGTGCAGATCCTTTTCCTGGGGTAGTAGCCTCTGACTAGTTTTACACGCTGATCCCTGAGTCTCTTGAAGGTAGAGCCGCCCTCAAAATATCTTTCTCAACAGTCAACTCACGACTGACTTTTTTACAAAGGAGAATTTACAAATTTAATTCATAACTTTAAAATTTGTAAATTTAAAATTTATGAATGAGACAAAAGCTTAAGGTGCTAATACTTCTAAAGGGAAAGAATACAGTGATGCAAATATGAATCAAAATGAAAAGTTTAATCCCTCATTCACCTTTTCCCTCACTTTCCAAATATCACTTGACCTCACATTACATGCAATGCTCAGAAAGGTAGACAAAAATGAAGAAGATTTCTCCATTTTGCCCTCATACAAGTTGCAAACATAATTTGAGGCTCTTTTCAGATATCTACTATGCCTCCCTTTTTCTTCCATCCATATCCAGAAGCTGCCCCCTCCATTCACAACTTGCATAGACATTCTCTGTACATCTCAAGACGTTAAGGAGCATTCTTTTCAGTCATTCTTCCCATCAAACTGTGAGCCCCTTTAGAACCAGGACCATGTTATGTCCAAGTCCACAGTCTGTTAAGAACCTGTCATGCTCCTGGCAATTGTCAATACTCTTAAATATTTTTCAGGCACTACAGAGAGTTCTCCGGTGTATATGTGACTGAATGTCGTCTTGGTTCCAAGTTTGTATCTCCACTCTGGGGCACTGTTTCAGCAGTGTATTCACTCCCCTCATACAAATAAGTCTTGAAGAATATTACGGATGACCTTGATGCATTAAGTTTCCACAGTAACAATTCCAAAAAAAGACCTCATATTATAAGGTCAGTCCTGGGAGGAAATTTAATGGAATGTTATCTTAATAACTCCATGTGGTGGCCACCAGTGTCCAGGGCCTGAAACTAGAGAATACATGAAAATAGTTACAGAATCTAATTCCTGGTGAATCATAGCTTAATCTGTTGGCAGAATAAAAGAGATCTAATTTATTATCAAGGAAGCTTGCAGCAATGGAAAACATTATCTCATTTATACATGTATTCATTAATGTTTTTAAAAATGTGTAATAACTCTTTTTCTCCTGATTGATATCAGCAGGGTATTGCATAGATGCATCACTCTTTTCATGAAGGTTGGCAGTCCAGTGTACTAAATAATTTTTCTAATTAGCTTGGACTTGAGAGGATTCAGAGCTTGTATGAAAGAAACAAGCAATGCTGTGATTTTAAAGTGATTTGGGGCCCAATCCACATATTTTTTAGAGTGAAATGACACCTCGGTAATACTCAGGAATTCTTCCTAGGTATGTGAAAAAGCAAGCTCTCCAACCCTTGAGGCTAGGTCTCCTTATGTCTCCTTACCTGATTTCTTCTCTAGAAGAGGATAAAAGATAATGGTCCTTTGTAGGCACATGAATGAACCTGGAAACCATCATTCTCAGCAAACTGATACAAGAACAGAAAATCAAACACCGCATGTTCTCACTCATAGGCGGATATTGAACAATGAGAACACATGGACACAGGGAGGGGAGCATCACACACTGGGGTCTGTGGGGGGGAAATAGGGGAGGGACCACAGGGGGTGGGGAGTTGGGGAGGGATAACATGGGGAAGAATGCCAGATATAGGTGATGGGGAGGAAGGCAGCAAACCACACTGCCATGTGTGTACCTATGCAACAATCTTACATGTTCTTCACATGTACGCCAAAACCTAAAATGCAACAACAACAACAAAAAAGATAATGGTCCACTCAAATACACAGCAAACCGTTTTCAAACATTCTAAATTTTCAAGATGTGCTCTGATGTACGCATATCATATTGCTAGTCATTTTTACATGTTACCTCACTGAGTCACTCAAGCCTCTTTGCCCCCATGAGTTAAATCTCATAATAATCTGCATACAAAAGATGACAAAACGAAGGTCTCTGCCCATTGAATCAGAGTCTATTAAAGTACACCCCATCATCTCTCAAAATATACATATATATTTTGAGAGTGTATATCTATATATATAGATATACATATATAGATATACACACACACACACACATATATGTATGTATATACTCTGAATATCATCTCTCAAAGTGTATATGTATATAATTTTAGTTTTCAAAGTATATATTTAAAGTATGCTGTAACTTTAAAGTGATTTTGGGCCCAATCCTCATATTTTTTAGATGATTTTAAGAACAATTTCAAAGCATTCTCTCTCAGATTATGATGTAAAAGCCCGCAAATCAATTTCAACTGCTGGTCAAGACCAGCTAAATTACTCACCAGAAGATAGCACCAAATGTATCAAGATAAAGGACAAAAGTGAGAATGCTGGAAAAGATTTGGCCATTTTTCCTCCTGGCGTGTCCTTGGAAATGATGCGCTGCGATATTGTGTCACGTTGTTGCCCTCTAATACAATCACTGAAGTGGAGACTCAAGATTTAAGACAACTATTACAATGAGGATCCATCTCCAGTCTGCCCACTGTATCTTTAGTACTTTGTATTTGGAAAGCCTATTCCACTCTTTCTCAGAAACAAATGTTTAAAAAGATAAACGTTGAATAACAATCTTGATTAAAAGTATAGAGCTCAGTAACAGATCTTTGAATCCTCAGAAGTAAATCATAGAGTACTCTAGGGGCATAATTGTATTATTTTAGTGGGAAGGTATTTTACAGGTCACGAGATAGCAACTCCTTCTCTGAAGCTTCACCTAAATTTATTTTTTGAGGGGATGAAAAAAGAATATGGGGCTACTGAGGTCCCTGGACAATATGAACTTCTCAATAAATGGAGTAGGTCTCTACTTGCCCCTTAAGCAATGAATACCTCTTTGGATTAAGACAAATATTTCTGATAATTCAGGCATGCTTGACTATACTGAGACTCTTCTGATATTGAACCCTAGACTCTTTGAGGACATCCACAGGAGAAAAATCATTCCCTGCCATCTCGCTGGGGTCCCACAACTATTTTAATCCAGACATAGAAAGGGAAAAGTCAGTGAGCAAATTCTCCCTAAGGATGGACTTTCCTTGTAGCAACATTTCTGATCCCCGAGAATGGTATCTGCAGATTCCAGGGTTGACCAAGGACCACATTTAACTCTACCTCAATTCCTAATCCTACAAAAGTCACCCGGTCTTCCATATGTTCTCTAGGCTTTTATCTCTGTCTGCAACACATGTCAGTGGGTAATTATATAAACTCTACTGATACGCTATAGTGTGGCAGGTGTTATTGTTATTTAAGACATTAAAATGTAGCCAGGATGATTGGAAGTCCTTTGCCCACTGTGCAAGGTTGCCTACTGTGCCTACTCCTGGCAGAGTCTGGGACACCATGTTTTTGCTAAACACACCCCCATCTCGTCCTGATAGTTTCCCTGGATTCCTCCAGAAATGGAGCAGGAACAGTAGAAGTTCAGGTGCAGCCAGAAGACTAACGCAAAACACAGAGACTCCCTCTCTCCATCCCTCATGCCACAGCTGACCCACCTCAGAAAGAAAAGGAATAGGAATGTAATGTGCTGCTTTTAAGAGGCATGCCTTAGGGCCTCAGGAGGGGATGGAATAACTGCTGTGTAGGAGAGAAAAGTCACTGAGGCATTGTGTGCTGGACTGAGCAGGGCCTGGAGGCCCATCATTCAGATTGCATCAAGGTCAAACCTCATCAGGGGAGACATGAGGGGGTAAGAACAGATCACTGGAAAGGGCAGCCATTAGGCAATTCAAGAGAGGCAATAGCGTGAGAAAACACACCACAGTAGGAGACAGCAAGAAGAAAAATATAACATGTTCCACAACAATAATTAGTACTTACGACCAGAATTAAAAATGCGTGGAAACGCCTAAGAAAGAGAAGGCTGATAAAGGAGGTTTCAGCAACAGATGAGATCATTGGATACCATTTGCTGTAGGTCCAGCCTTGTGCCCGTAGTAACCCAGGGCCTCTGTCATTTTAACAGGGAAGATATTTTATTATAGCTAAGTTCCTCCTGTTGTCTGAACTTCTGGCCTCTACCATTTCTTCTGTAAAAAGTTACTTTTCTTACATAAAAACAAAACATGCTCACTTAGAAAATTTATAAAATAGAAATATACAAGACAGGGAGGTGTAGCAGGTAAAAACATACAAAGAAATGGCCAAATAGAAATATACAAAATAGAAATATACAAATGAAATAGAAAATATACAAAATAAAAAATATGCAAATGAAATAAAAGGTGTAAAATCTCACAACCCAGAACTACCTACTAAATAAATGCAAAATTAATTCCAGTTTTAAGATAATATATACATAATCACACGTGTACATATATGTTTTTTATAATATATATTGTTTTTTCACTTAGAAATGGACTATAACATTTTCCTGCTCTCTAAATATAGCTATATTGAACATGAATTTAGATGCCTGGTGTCATATTCCATCACATATATGGATTTTAATTATACTAATATTCTTTAATTGTTGCTCAATTAGGGTGATGTCCATTTTTTCATTGTTGATAATGGTGCTAGCATAGGCAGATTTTTATTTACCTCAGTTAATTTGTCATTTAATATTTCATTTTAATAAATGCCTGTAAATAAGCCACCTGGAAACTTCCAGAAAGAACTTAGGTCACCTAGGTAGAATATGAGAGAGGTGGTTTTCATTCAATTTGTGAGCTTCATACTTGTAATCTTACGTAAAATACTTTGAAAACACCTGTTATCTTCCTGAGTAAATCATTTATTCTATGGTTTGGAAAGGCAGAGGTACTCTGTTGTTTAGAAAGCATTCTGAATGCAGAAGCAGAACATCAAGTTATAATGTTTTGTCAACTTGGAAAATAATTTCTTCTATCTGGACTACAGAATTTTCCTGTTTGCACTGTTGGGAGTCACACATTCTATCGAGTGCTCTTTGGAGGTTTAATTGAGCAAACACTTAAACAGCTTTGAAAACTCAGACAGATAAGCCACCAATAAATGCTTAATTTATTTGTCTTCTTCGCAGCCACTAAATGGATGTGAGTGTTGTAAATCCAGAGGCACAGACTCATTTTATGGCATTCAAAAATAAGTGTGAAATTACTTTCCGTCTGAGAATAAATAATCTACATTTTTTTACTTAGTTTTGTTGCAAATTTTATTATCAGAGCATTACTCATAAGGTGATTTCTCATTAGGCCTTCTACAGTTTGGAATTCTGATTTCTCAGGAACTGTGAGTGGTCCTGGAAATACAGCTGTGAAAACTATTGGCATCATCCTTACCCTAACGGAGCTTAGACCACATTAGGGGAAAGTCATTACACAAATAATTACTCAAGGAAGGTAGACTTGAGGAAGAAATTTCCAATATTTGAGTTTTCTAAATCTTGTGACTTTTAGATATTAATCATGATCCCTGTGTTTCTCATTCATATTAGCATTGATAAATCAAACAATAAAATGCCACAAATTCAATATTTTAACTACGTAAAACTGAAACAAAATACTCTAAGATAAAGGGGATTGCATATTATGACCACATGGCTCTATTTAATAGATATAAAAATAAGATAACAGAGAGAGGTCTATAAACATTGTTTAAACCTGAAGCACACAGAGGAAAAGCAAGTGCTGCAGGAAATAATTAAGGCTAGAATATCTTTACCTTTTCCAAACTCCCCCAAATTTCAGTTGAACTAATACTGGGAGAAGAGAATAAGTGAGATTAAAAGATCATATGTCCCTCAGAGAATCCTTAGTCTATGATTTTGTCATCATCTATCATGCCTAGTCTAATTCCAAAAGCTACAGCTTAGGGCTTTCTCACTGAATCCCAGGCTCCCTAGCTGTAAGTAATTCAATTTACATGTTTCAATTTCACCTCAAATCCACATCTTCAAAAACCATTGCCTCCTCCTGTTGTCCAAAGCAGATTCTTATTACTTTTCAGGGATGCAAAAACCTTTCTACTGTCACTGGATTGATGTAAGGCTCTACTACTGTTTTCCTGCAGAAAGTCTCAGCTCTACTGCCAGGGGATAGCACTTTCATAGTTTACCTCATTCTGATGACCAATTATACTTCCAACACATTACTGATGAGGTGCCAACAATGCTTTATCTATCACAGTAAAACCACTAGATACCACGCAAATAATCATCCCCATCCAGGCTGTAGGATTAAGCATTCCCCTTCTGAAGGATTTTAGGGAAGCCCTGGGACAGCATTAACTAGACTTGTACATTCTCTTGCACTGGTCTGGACCACTGGTTTGGAGAACCAGTTATTTGGACTGACCAAGATGGTCTTATGGCCTTAACCTTCTCTTTGGCTCAGTTGAACTGTAGATAAGCTTCTTAACTCTAGACCCCTGATCTCCATTTTTTGTGGAGGATTTACTTTAGAATGTGTAACTCTAATTTCTTTATATATCCCTTTGAGTTGTAAATCCTTTTAGAAGCCTCTTGCCAGTTTAATGACCCAGGACTGTCTTTCTCAGTGGCCTGGGAGCTGTCCCTTGGAAATGTAATCATCAAGACAAATAGTGCTCGCATCTACTAGTTTCTGTGGAAGGGTACAGATCTACCTTCTAGGGAGATAAGCACCTTGCTCCAAGTTGCAAAAACACCTCCTCTCATAAAGATATGAGTTTATTTTTGCTTTGGATGAAGCCAATTAGCAAACACAGATGGCCTATGATTTCCCCATATTATCTTCCAGTACTTTGCATTAGCTCACCCCAGCCCTTAAAAACCTTCTCATTTCCTTTGTTTCAGTGAGTTGAGTTCAGACTGAGTTCTGGCCTCTCTTCCTGACTGCAATAACCTTAAATATAATATTTCTTGCCTGTGTAAGTTTGTCAGCTTTATGTTTGCTTCAGAGGAATACCACATACCAAATAACAGATTTTGTTACCTTTTCTCTTTGGATAGCATCACTAACAAAATGAAAAAGCAAAAAACATTTTTGTTTTGTTTAATTTTTACTTTTCCCCTAACTCCTTTAGAGGGTGTGTTAGTTTGTTTTCATGCTGCTGATAAAGACATACCTGAATCTGGGCAAGGGGATCATATGTTGTGATCCCTATACCCAGTACATCAGAATGTGTCAGTATTTGGAGACAGGGTAGTCAAGGAAGTAATTAAAGTTAAATTAGGTCACTGGAGTGGGCACTAATTCAGTATGACTAGTGTTCTTATAAGAAAGAATTAGGATAAAGACAAGCAAAGAATAAACACCATGAGAAGGCTCACAAAGAACATTGCCATCTATAAGCCAGAGATAAGTCAACCCTGCTGACACCTTCATCTCAGACTTCTAGCTTCCAGAACTGTGAGCAAATTTCTGTTGCTTAAGTCATCTAGT